AGCCATGCACAGCGAATCACGTAAGATACCGACTTGTTGCTCTTTGCTCCCCAGTGCGGTAGAGGATTGCATTTCAAGGGTGGGCTCTGAGGTTCCCACTGATTTTCTCCTGTCAATGCCAAAAAATCATGACTCAGAATATTTGATGAAGAACACAGGGATCATCACCATGGCATATGGTAACAGCTGAACTCACTGAGGATCGCTTCACGCAGGAACGCATCGGCTTCCATCCAGAAGAGCAAGCTGCTGCAGTGAATATGATAGAACATCAAAGGGAATGTTGCTGTAAAAAAACTGCCATGTTTGTATGGTAAATCCTCTCTTCTTTAAATCAGAAGCAGGCAGATTAACGGCAGCTTTGTATGCAACATAAAATACAGGTCTACACTAATTAACTCTCAGAGTCAATATTCAGAAGATGATACACTTTTAGCACTAATTTATGGGTGTAATGAGCATGTTAAAGTGTTGCTAACCCTCGGCCTGCTGTGCTGGCCCAGTCAAACACCTTGTGCAGGCAGTAACTCCATTCGCGCCCCAAGGGTGCCACGTCCCCACCTTGTCATGAATGCATAGTCTATCCCTGAATGAGAGCCAGTTCTGAAAGGCAAAACAGAATGTGCTTTGTTAAAAAGGAACAGAGAGTAATAAAGGAAAAATAGGAAATTGCACAACAGTTCTTAAAATATCATGTAAACAATTAAGCTTAATTTATATCTGCTTTACAAAAGGTCCATCTTTATTAATTTGAAAGAAATATACTCAAAATGTATCAAATATTGATGAAAATGTTATCAACAAAAAAGTGAAAAGAAAAGAAAATCCAAAAGCGTCATACCTTGGCAAAAGAGTGTTTTCTTCCATTCCAGGGGGGCCATACAATTCAGGATGTTTCTGCTAACAAGCCTTTGTTCTGTCCTGGTGTTACTAGTGGCGATGGCAATGTCCCTACCGTTCCTCCAAATTGGCCTGTGTTAATCAACAATTCAAATGACAGCATTTTTCACAAAGTCTTAAAAAGAGCATTTTGAATTGTGAAGTTTAAACTCATATCCAATAAAATCCATCAGGGTAAACTTAACTCCGCTTGAGAACCACGCCCTCCAAGGCATCCTGAGGTCTGCTTCTCAGACGGGCTTGGTTGTCTACAAAAAAATTTTAGAATAAGGGAGTTTGGGATGGTGACAAATCATTTAATGGCTCTAAACACAGTCATAGGTATTGTGTCCAATTATATTTTAATATAAATTTCTTATATCTAGCCATAATGATAACATGAACAATCTACATGAATCCTTTAACAACTTTTTTATTTCTGGTTTGCTTTAAGATATATTAAGCTACTGTTTAGTCTAAAACTGATTTTGGGGGATTTTTTTAAAATACCCCTCACATTATTAGTCAATTTAGAAGGAATTACGTGAATATGAATTGCCAGATGTTCCCATGGATAACACATCGATTTTAACCAATGTCTGGTAAAAAAAAAAAATACATTTGAAAATTACCATGTTTACAGGCCGAAGTAAAAAAATCTGAATTAAACAGGCTCGAGAAAAATGTTTCCCAAATAAACGTAAATAATCCTCTATGTGGGATATATGCTGCCTGGCATCTACTTCGTTAGCAAGAATTATGGTTAATTTGATCAGCAGGTTTCACCAAAAACACTCGCTCTCGTGAAAACATGGGGAAATAAGTACTGTTATTGACCGTTGATTGGTGTTTGATGCTTCACAAAAGTTATCCTGGGAGTCTCTCGGACCATAGTGATGGGTTTCCAAGACAGACTCTATGGAAGCGGCCGGCCACCGCTTGTGGCCATTCCTTGGGCTGTACGACTCCTGCTGCACCAGAGTCAACCCGCAACCTGTGGATAGGCCAACACATCGCAAATCTTTCAATAGTACTGTACAGCAATGAAGACCAACAGCTACACATCATCCTCTGCCAAGTCTCTTGTGGTGAAAAGTGTGACAGATCTTGGATTTGTTTTACCGTGGCCTGTGACTTTGTCCCGTCGGTGAGGATGAAGGCCCGTGAATCCCTCCCAAACACAACTCCTGTCCGGTCCTGGCGGGCACCAAAACACAATTCATCACACTGACTGCCTTCAATGTGAAACCTCGCTTGCTGACACCCTCCTGGAAATTTCACTTCCAGCTGAGGGAGATAGGAGATATTTGCCAGTTACTCTGAGGATTAAGGAAATTCATTTTGCCCCTCACTTTATAGATTTCAAGGGACAGTTTGGTCTGTGTTCAGCAGCCTTTCCAGGCGAATCTGGTTCCCTGATGATGTCTGCGTTCTCCCTCTTCCACCTGGGCTTGGGCTTTGGACTGCCGCTTCAAATGCGGAGCAGGTCGGTTCTTGTGTCTCAGCTTCCAATTTCATGTTGGAATGGTAGCTTAGGAGGAAAGAGGCTCAGATTTTATTAGCTACATTCTTTTGACCACTCTGACAGGGGGTGTATATTTGATTTACTTTAACTAGTGTTGGAATGAACCTTAACACCATGGCAAAAACTTACCACTGAACAAAATATAAACGTAGACACTTATGTTTTTGTGTGCTCCCGTTTTTCATGAGGATGAACTCAAAGATCTAAACATTTTCTACATACACAAATAACCATTTCTCTCAAATTATTGTTCACAAATCTGAAAAAATCTGTGATAGTGAGCACTTCTCCTTTGGCCGAGATTAATCCATCCCACCCACAGGTCTGGACATATCAAGATGCTGATTAGACAGGCATGGATTATTGCACAGGGTGTGCCTTAGGCATGGCCCACAATAAAAGGCCCCTCTGAAATGTGCTTTTGCTTTATTGGGGGGTTTGGGGTTCCAAAAACCAGGTCAGTAATCTGGTGGTGAGGGTTAGGATTAGGGTTAGGGGTTAAATGTTAAATGCGACCTGCCACTTATATAGCGCTTTATCCAGTCTTTTAAGACCCCTCAAAGCGCTTTAACCCTTAACTACCATGTCATTCACCCGTTTCACCAAACCCATTCATACAGGAGCCAGTGTATCGTTTGTCTAGGTCAAGGAACTAAACATGGCCATACCACATTGCACACACCTTGGCCATGCCATCGTGTGAGCCAACTGCAGCGGTTAAGTATCTTGCCCAAGGATACATCGACATGTTGGACTGCATGGGGCCTGGGATCGGGAACCCAACCTTCTGGGTTGAAAGACGGACCGCACGTCCCTCGCAGCCACAGTCGCCCACACAGTCGGGTTAGGGTAATGTTGTGAATCGAGTGGCCCATGGTGTTGGTGGGTTATGTATGGTAATGGGCGTATGTTTGGATGAATGAACACAGGCCACTTGATTCACGCAACATTACCCTAACCCTACCCTAATCCGTAACCCTCACACCAGAGTACCGACTGGTTTTCGGCGAACCCCCCGCCAGGACACCCCCAATCAGAAGCCAAAAATGCACGTTTCAGGAGTGGCCTTTATTGTGGGCAGCCCAAAGGCACTCACTTGTGCAATATAAACATGCTGTCTAATCCTCATCTTGATATTGCCACACCTGTGAGGTGGAATGATGTATCCTCGGCAAGTGAGGAAGTGCTCACTTTCACAGATTTTTTCAGATTTGTGAACAATATTTGGAGAAATGGTTTTTTGGTGTATTAGAAAATGTTTTAGATGTTGGAGTTCTTTCTCCATGAAAAATGGGAGCAAAAACAAAAGTGTTGCGTTTATATTTTTGTTCAGTGTGTTGATTGAAACTCATTTAAAAAGGTAATGTTCATTTGTGCTTATTGGACTGTTCTAATGTGAATATGGACGTTAAGGTAATATATATATACCTATATATATATATATATATTATATGGCTATATATATATATATAGTATATATTGTCCATTAGATGGTCTTTACTGAAATAATAGTCATATTTTCAAGACAATGGCATTTATAACTTGGGACATAAAATGTTTGTTAAAAAATGCAGACAGATCTACTAAATTATTTATAGTTTTTGATCTATTACGTAAGCATTTTAATTGTTTATTGTCTCTTGTTTTGTTATGTTCTATTCATGTCTCCGTCTGTTCCTTTTGTTTTATTTCTAAGTGTAATATTTAACAGTGTGTTCGTCTAAAAGAGCGTATAGGGTCAGTCAACCTATAAATAAATATTAAAGCCACATTAATTCAGTTTGGAGCTTGGCCCCTTAAGAAATAACAAACATAAAATAAAAAGGATACAAATATTTATTTCTATCCTTTTATTTCACGTTATGAGTAATGTTAAGAAAATTGGTATAATGAATACTTTATATTCCAGCATTCTTGTATCTTTCATTTTTTTCTTAAATATTTGCAAAAAATAAATTTACTTATTTATTACTCCTCATTTATTTCCTATGACTCAAATTAAAGTATTTTCGTGTCCTGATTGGTTGTTTTATTAAAATGGACCTATCATGATATATTTTAAAAATATATTGCAGGGCCATACCTATATAAAACATGTCTGTGAAGTTTTTTTTTCAAAATAACAAACAGATCATGCATTTTAGCCATGCCTCATTTCGTTCTATTTGCTCTATTCCAGCCCTGTTTTTGCAAGGGCTGATTCTGTGGCAAATGAGCTGCAGCTGACCACAATCCCCTGCAAAGGATGGGGGCGTGGCACAAGCGTCATATTACCATGCTGTTACCATGCTGTTACCATGCCATGCAACCCCCCATTCCCCTGATAGGTGGAGAGTTGCCCATATAGGCGGAGCACCCCGTTTCTGACGTCAGAACAATTTCAAATCTGGATCAGTCTGTATCAGCTCCGTTGCAGCCCCATTTTTAGAGCTTTGGGTATGGAGGAAAAGAGAGAGGGTTGTGTTTTCTGACACGTGGTGAGTTCCCTGACACACCGGGGACACATATTCATGTATAAAAGACATAAAAAAGTGCATTTTGCATGATAGGTCCCCTTTAAAGAAACAAAGAAAGGGATTAACCAAGCAAATAAGAGCAGAGAACGGATACAAATGTCTAATGAAGTGCTGATTCACAATTTTATTAAATACTAATGTTAATATTTTGTTTTGTCTTGCAACTCCAATGGGTGGCTGATCAAGAGCCCTATCGATGCCTGCACATTCATCATGGCCGGTCTTTGCTTGAGAGACACAAATCCTACTTATTGCATCTTTAAGTGGAGTAATAAAGACGTTTTGACATGAAATTATGAGTGGATGAATAATGTGTAAATGTATTTGGGTTTTTTTCCTACATTTTCTCATGGACTCCTGCTTCAAGACCGACTCCTCTTGTTTGCGAAGGTTCTCCTCGTTGAGAAATTGCTGTGAATAAATAAATTAATAACTAGATCAGTGAATACTCCCTTCAGGAAATGTTCTGTTTGTTCAAGAGTTAATTTTAATAAGGTTTACCTGTTGCCTGAGCTGTTCATCGTACCTCTGTCTGGCAAGCTTGTCTTGAAATTGTGCCCTCTGGGGGTGAGATGGAAAATAACACATCACATTTACATGTGTTCCAGATGAAACATATCTTTGTGGGCTTTTGGTTATTTCTTTAATTCCTTACTGCCTGGTTCTGCTTTGTCTCCTCTACCAGTGTTTTGCGTCTCTCCTCGGCCTGGAGATGTATCTGCTCGCCCTTCAACTGCTCCACAGCCGCCTCATATTCCTGTTGAGGAGTTTGGTTGTGTTATATTTCCTGACATCAGGGTTTAATATCAGTTAACAACACAATATTGTTGTTCATACAGTCACATAGATTCCCTTTTACAATCCATCCTCCAATACTTACTTTAACTTTACTCTCATGCTCCAGCTGTACAGTCTGCTCCTGCATACGAGCCAAACTAAGCGCTTCTTTGGCATGTCCTTGAAATGAAAAATATATAAAACAGTAAGTGGTGGTGCTTTATTCATTAAACTATTTACTTTTTTTTTTAACACCAAGACAATTATAGTTTTACTTTTCAGAATAACATGCCTTTAAATGCCACTACAATATGTGGACCTGTTTGTCAGTGTGTTTATAGAGAGCATAACAGACAGTTAAGAAGGTGAATGAAACAAAAGGACACTGTATGTTCTTCACGCCCATACAGTTAACAGCAGTAGGCATGGTCATGTGTATATACTGACATGAAGGCCTTGACGTATGGGACAGGTGAGGCGCTGCGCTCGAGTACACTTTGTTCCACCTGCTCTCCCTGTCACGCCCCCCAAAACTCTCTAACTTTGTTGCAGATTGTGCGGAGGTCATACAGGCTAGCACACTTGTAGTAGCAAACGTGTGCTACACGTTAAATAATTCAGTAGACTGCTTTGTTCCGTTCCCCCTCAGACAAAATAACAAAGAAGCCATAATGACCCCCAAAGTGCACATACTACAACAATGATTTAAAACGAAATATCTGTAACAGAACACATTGTTTTAAAACTGCAGCCAGACCTAGGACTCTAGTGTTTGGTGGAGTTTAACCAGCTTAAAAAGTTGAATGAAATGCTATCTATTTTGTGATGCTAACTTCGAGATGTGTATGCAGAAGTAAATAGTTAAACCCAAAAGCTAAGCATTGACCATGAAACATAATGTTTAAAGACTGCACATTTGCCAAGTATACATTTAACTTCACATTTTTTAATGGAATTCGGCGCGATGGACTCACCAGAAAAGAACAGAGCGTACTAACATGCGAAAGTCTGTCTAAACTAGAAACAAATGAAAATATCAAATTAACACTGAAAGGAATGAAGTACATTTGTAACATGCTAGAAAAATGACCACGCACGTGATTTGTCGAGTTCCCTTGCAGCTTTTGCAGCTCTCTCCAGCCCAGTCGGGTCGAAGTTGCTCCACTTGTCCCCGGCTCTGCCTCCCCCTGAACCTCCTGGTGCTCCCCCGGCTCCTTCAGCTGCAGCAGCCGTTACCTGCTCCTCCAACGACGGTGAACTGGAGCCCCCCCACCAGCCGAAGAGCCACGACATGGTGCTTCAATTGTGTCCGTGCAACAGGCTGCAGTTTCGGGATTCAGAGCCTCGACTGTGGGGGTGGTAGTGTACCCATGCTTATGAAAGTCAAGTATAATAACAGGTGAAAGGAACTTTCGGTCAAACCTTTCAAACTAAAACGAGTACAGAAAAATTAACTTCTGTTTTAAGATAATTGTGTATATCAATAACAGATAAAGGGAAATGAAAATGCACTTCAATAAATAATATCTTGAAAATGCAGTCAGATTATTTTTACACAGATATGTCAGTTTGGTTCAACTCATTTGTTGACTGAAGTGCTAAATAATTACTCCATTTATTGCTTTTTTGTATGCTTTTATTTTGAAAACATAAAAATTCAAAATCACTGCAAGCTTTAGGTTGTGACGCGACCTTGGGACTGATTGTACATTACATCTATTATTTTCTCATCACTATGTATACATATTATTTATGCATGTTAATCAGAATTTCTCTAAAACAATATTAAATGTTAGCGTAATTTAGCCCAATGTGTTTTTCTAACCTCTTTCTGCATTATGTAAAATGTATTATCTTTGTTATGTCTGAGTTGTGTTGAGTATTTTGAAAATCCAAGTAAAATTGAACATGCTTACCATATGAGGTCCAGGGATTCTTCCTTATTTTATTGTTTCTTTTATATTCGTATAAGTGTTTTCGATAGTTTTACAATCCAGACTGGAATGAATAACATCGACAACATTTTTGAGAGTCTTTTCCAGAGGAAGAGTATGGGCAGCAGCACGATAGGTTGTCTACACTAATATAATGAGAGGTGCAGGTTATTTCTTATATGGAAAGTCAGTCATGACTGTTACATTTTATTGACCATGTGAAAAAAGATCATTAATAAAATTACAATCTACATAAGTAATTTAAGTCTTTCCCCCGACCTTCACATTTATTGCCACCTGAATAGTTAATTGTGTACATCTCTTTACCGGAGAACAGATTGGCAGTCGTAACATTTACTGCATACATGACATGGACATACTTCAATAACCCAGAGTGGCTCCTATTCCTAACAAACGATAGGGGCTCTAGAAAGGACTGCAAATATTATTTTAGACTAAACATAAGTGGTAAATCAGTTACTGGTATGTAACATGTATACAAAGTGGATGGATGAAGGACATATTAAGTAACAATGCTTGCATGGTTTGAATTGAAACTTTATTGAGATGGCCTAAAAATGAAATATCAATACAAATAGGAAATTAATTACAAAAATGTATAATATTAAAAATATATTTAATAACACAACAAATTCAGCAAAGGGTAGAAACAACTTTTTAAATCAACATATTTTCACCTAAAAGAAGAACGCTCAGAAGATATGGGCAAAGTCAAATAAGAATAATTATTATCATAAACCTGTATCTATGTAAAATTTTGCACCTGACCTGTATAACACTGTATGTGCTATCATGGGTACATAACTGACCCTGGTTAGCAATGTGAGGCTCATACACAATGGTGCATTCAAGTGCTGTCGGATGTATAGTCTATTCACGAATTAAGTCTACATTTACGAAACAAATAAGTGAAGCATGGGCATTTATTATTATTTTTATAATTAAACGTGACTTGTCGTAATCAAGTTTGAGGCTCATTTATATTATACAGCTGCAACGTTAATATCTGCGTACAAGTGTGTGGTCTGACAGCAGGATGAAAGAGCTCGGTGGGAGTCCGTGAAGGCAACAATCACTGTGAACGTCACGTAACATGGACTCACATAGAGGGCGGGGCTTATGCTTACGTACAGTCTAGTTGAGACAAAACTGAGCTGTCCTGTCTGCTCTGTAGAGTTACAGTAAAAAACAAATATATACTTAAAGATGTCGGTGGTTAGTTTGGTCTTGAGTCGAAATGTTTTGGCCATTAGGAACTCTGGCATGGTGGTGGTGAGTACAGAATATTGTTATTAAATTCATCAAGGACATAGTATTAAAGCAGACATGCCTCATGGGCTACTTTTAGAAGTGTGTATGTTAGCAAATAGGTGTTGGTGTGGATGTATTGATAGCTAGGTGTATGCTAAGCAACAGCGAATCTGTGTAGTGTTAATTTTGTTATACAACGACATGTAACAACCCACCCTGCTCTTCCTGGCTAGGTGTGTACATTTTACTAATACAATTGGCTTTTCTGTAAAGTGTCAATTATTCGTGTAGTATTTACATTAAGCAGTCCACGTTTCATTATCATTATATTAAATGATTAGTCAACCTGTTCATTGTTAGTGAGCTTAGCCTATGTACAACCCCTCCCTCACATTTCCATCTTTCGGGATTATATATCAAATCTAAAGGTTTATAGCAGTTAGGAAACACAAACATTTCTTTACTACTCATCTTTTTTAAAGAAATATTTAAGTTATTGGGCTGAAGTCCATCTTTAATTGTCCTTAAAAAGTCAGTTAGGTAACCAAAGACAGCAAAGTGATGTAACACTGTCAAAGAAGTTCAGCCATACTACCACTAGGGGGAGACTCTTCCCTTTGTAATGCACATTGTGTAAACAGAATAACTAGCTACAACATGAAATACTCTATTATTTTTGGTTTATTTGAAAGGGTGTCTTAAAGATTGTAATAGTAGTTTTAACATTTTTATAAGGTCTAAAATAAATGTATAATTCATGATGTGGTTTTAAAGGCTTTCATTAGAACTATGTTTTATATTTTTGTGGTGGCGTTTTGTAGTTGTTTGTATAGGTTTCGATAACATGTATCCTCTTGTATTACAGGATATAATTACCAGGTCTTATTTTAGCCTTTAGTTCATGTAAACAGCAGCTAGGTCACATTATGACGTGGGCCTTTATACATAACACTTGCTTGCATAGCTATTTATTTTTATTTTAAGTACTAGAAATCATGCAGTATTTTCCATTTGAAATATCTCTTTGATTCATACAGCCTCTCTTTTCTTATTTTACAGATGGTACGGCATGCTCAGACGGCCGCGGCCCCGGCCCCCGAACCCAGGATCAAGAAGTTCCAGATTTACCGCTGGGACCCAGACTCTGCTGGAAACAAACCACGAATGCAGACATACGACATAGATCTCAACAGGTGAGTTGTAATTCCATGATAATTGTCAAGTCGTTTAATCTTTATGTGATAAATTCCATTGACCTGCTTCTTCTGTTCTAGCTGTGGTCCAATGGTTCTGGATGCCCTCATTAAGATCAAGAATGAGGTTGACCCCACACTCACATTCAGACGCTCCTGCCGTGAAGGTAAGTCACAAATTGAAAAAGAGCTTGCACATAATAATGTAAACAATTTCCAAAGATTAAAACAAAAAACAAATTAGATATACCTTTTATAATTATATTGTTAATATGTATGTGTACACAAACAAGACTGAATTAGATATGTCAAGAAGCCACAAGCTTTAAAACAAAAACTCCACTCAATTAAAGGACAAAAACAACAAACAGCAAAAAAACATTAAAATAATTTATTAAAATACAACCAAATATGCCAAACGTGCCTGATGTAAATGAATGCCACTGATATTGTTTATTTATTTTTTTGTCGGTTTCAAGAGTTTTTTGAAAATGTTATTACAGGCTGTGGGAGCCATGAAATGTGTTAAGTAATCCTTTATGTTTTAATATAAGATATTTGTTTGATCACTATTGATTGGTTGGCTTGGGTCACATGGAGATGGGCGGCACTCATTATAACCCTGTTCACCTGCGTGAGGTGTGTGTGTGGAAGAGAGGGTGACACAGGGCCGTTGTACTTTTTGTTGACCGCAAGTTGAAATTATTGCTCTGATTAATATAACAATGTACATGTCCAAGGAGAATACGTTGATTATCCCAGTTTTCATTTAACCACATTATTTTGCAACAGAGTTTTTGATCTCAGCAAGTGCTTTTTTGTAACATGTCACACAATATCAAACAGGCCCGGCCTCAGCCTCTCAGCGACTTTGTTTGTTTCCTGCTGTCGCTATACAGGCAAAAATAATACACATAACAAACACATTAAATATGATATGACAATATAACCCCCAAAAAGAGAAGAAAAATGAGCATTTCTACAATGACACGGTAACATTTAAAAAGTTGACAACTGAAAAAAAGCTGAAACGTATGTGTATTAATTTGTTTTATATAATCCCTTTTCCAGTCCAGAGCATATATTTCCTCAGTTTATGTTGAGGTTGTGCTACTTTGTAAGCGTCCTATCAATTCATTAATCAAAAAAGCTCACAGTGTATTCTTTTAGGGGACTTGGATTTAGTTTAGTTCAGTGATTGAGTCTTGGTGATTGTGTATCCCTTCAGGTATCTGCGGTTCATGTGCCATGAACATAAATGGAGGCAACACTCTGGCATGCCTTAACAAAATTGACACCAAAACCAGCAAACCGACCAAAATCTACCCGCTGCCACACATGTATGTGGTCAAAGATCTGGTGCCTGTAAGTACTGCAAGATAGGAACATTATAACCATGGCTATATTTGAAAGTAGCAAGAATTGAAATAAAGGAATAATAAAATAATATATATAATTAATTGGCTGTTTGAGTAAGTTCTCCCTCTTGTGATTTCCACCAGGATATGAGCAACTTCTACGCACAGTACAAATCCATCGAGCCCTACCTGAAGAAGAAAGATGAAGCACAAGAAGGGAAGGAGCAGTATTACCAGTCAGTGGAGGACAGGCAAAAACTGGTAAATAAACCATTCTTACTGTAAGATTCACCTGTCCAATGTTCGATACATTACTCGTGAAAATATTTAGCATTATCACCCTTTTAGTGATTGTAGTTTGCCTGCGTGATAACTTTCTTCATACCCCAACAGGACGGCCTGTATGAGTGCATCCTCTGCGCCTGCTGCAGCACCAGCTGTCCCAGCTACTGGTGGAACGGAGACAAATACCTGGGACCTGCTGTCCTAATGCAGGTGGGTCATCATATTTGCTTATGAGATGCCTGCTGTTATTTCAAATAATAAATGTAACAGGAATTTAAGTCCATACTAGGGACCTTGTGAGCCTGTTATGCTCATTACTAACCAGAGAGTGAAAATGTTGCTAGATAATTTCCACTAGGGAGGCAGAAAATGTGAAGCTAAACCTGAGGGGGGTGCCAGAGCAAAAGCACGTGGCAAGTGGTCATGAGTTTAAAAGGAATCCTATCATGCGACTCCTTGTCCAACACCCTTGTCAAGATTTTTGTGATAGATATGTAGTATGGACAGTTTATTTTCTATTTTAACATTGACAGGTTTTAGAGGTTTGACAGATAAAAAAGCGAATGACTATACATCTGCAAAGAATTTTTATTTTAATCACCTAGGGAACTTTGGGATTTGAGCCTTTAGACACTATGCACAAAGACTATTACACACTGCAGGAAAGGGGAAATCCCCCAAAAAGCAAAAAAGAAGAATAGGGGTTCTTTAACATTGAGCATTGCCCTCTGAAATCATGCACTTATTATGTAGTCTATGTTTTATATTTAAAAAATCAGTGCAAAAATGTTTCATGATGGAGCAAACAGATGAAAATGTGTTTTATTATCCAACAGGCATACCGGTGGATGATTGACTCCCGTGATGAGTTCACTGAGGAGCGTCTGTCTAAACTTCAAGACCCTTTCTCTCTCTACCGCTGCCATACTATCATGAACTGCACTAAGACGTGTCCAAAGGTACTAAAAAAAACCACTCTTACACACACACACTCTCGCAAGGTTAATAGACTTTTAGTTTCTCATTGTCTGTTTTACTCACTGCTCCGCAGGGTCTCAACCCAGGAAAGGCCATTGCAGAGATCAAGAAAATGATGGCGACCTACAAAGAGAAGAAAGCAGTAGCTTTATGAACAAATCAACATCCAGCGGGCCTGAGAATCACTGACAAAACATTAAACTAAGCTAAGACGATGACAAGGACCCACCCCGTTATATTTTGCCTACATTAGCACATTTGTATCACTTTCATGAGTGTGTAAAACATGAGTTTGTGGATATGTGTAAGTGTGAGGTGATAAGGCAGACCAAGACAGGAATGTGTGTGAAAAGGGTTCTGCAAAGGACAGTTCAGCCAAATATTTTGGAAGGTTGCAACATGTTGGACCACATTTCTGCTATTTATCTGCAAAGTGAAAATACTAAGCTATGTTGTATTTATTCTAAGCATGAAAAATGTATTGTAAATAATTAATTATGTGTTCATTAAAGATCATTATGGAAATTGAGTCATTTTCTTTTGAATCGTGAAAAAAACCGATTACTTGATACAATGCAATATTGAAGCAGAATAAATGTTAGCTTGTCAAAGCAGGTAAAAGACAAATGGATGAAAAGGGAAAAATAAACACCAGCCGAAAGCCTTTATAGAGGCTGCCTTAGAAAAAGCAATAATTGGTTTTCCGTTAATATTCACAGTTCTAATGGGAATAAATATGTAGGCTATAATTGTATGGGATTAGTTTTGTATCATAAAGATAAAGCAACACTTTCTCAGAATAAAGCAAAACTATGAGTTTAAAAGAAAAAAAAACAGGCAAGCAAAATAAAATAAATTTCAAAAATAAAACTATAAATTGCAAACAAATCATTTGTGTAATCATGTTAACTATAAGTATTTTTTCTTTGTTTTAACATAGGTTTTTGTTTGCAGTTCTTGTTTCTTCTTTCTCAATGATCAGACTTTTGCTCTCGCTGCAGCTTTCTCGTTTACGCTCCCTCATTTTTTGTTTTAGATTTTGACACAAACATCCCAGGTGGGCAGGATTTTCAGGGGTGTGTCCTCATTGGCTACTCAGTTTTTTAGTGACAGCCCACTACACCACAGATCATACAGTGCAACTCATACAGCAAACTCCGGAGTCCACTCGGCCACGTTAGTGTTGGTGTCTCCTGGGGAGTTTTCATGAACATATCGGACTCATCTTATGGATTGCTGTGCATTAGACTTGTGTTGTGTAGTTTATACTTTATTCCAACTTTAAATATTTTAATACCTGAACACACTGCTGCTGTTAAATAATTTCCCAATTTGGGATTGATAAAGTGTCTGTCTGTCTATTTATTATTTATACATTAAAAAACTCATCTATGTGTTTTCAAGTCTAAAAGGTGATACTACAATATATAGACCCTCCAGAAAAACGCGATTCTGCGATCGCAGAATTTCCCGCATAATCAGCAAAATGCCGCAGATTTTTAAAAGTCCGCATATTTATCAAAAGGCCGC